ATGCAATCAATAATTAAGCCAATTGATTCATGACAGACCTGAACCTCTTTAACCCACTGCCAAATCACCAGAAAAAAATTCATAATTTTAGATCACAGAATCAGAGAATTGTAGGAGTTGGAAGGAAGTTCTAGAGATCATCCAGTCTAACCCCCTGCTAGAACAGGTTCCCTACTTCAGGTTACACAGGAGAGTGTCCAGGTGGGTTTTGAATATCTCCAGAGAAGGAGACTCCACAACCTCTTTGGGCAGCCTGTTCCAGTGCTCTGTCACCCTCTCAGTAAAGAAGTTTTTCCTCAAGTACGTAAGGAACTTCCTGTGTTCCAGTTTCTGCCCATCGCCCCTTGTTCTGTCACTGGACACCACTGAAGAGCCTGGCCTTATCCACTTGACATCTGTTATTTATAAGCACTGATAAGATTCCTCTCAGTCTCCTTCAGACTGAAAAGTCCCAGGTGTCTCAGACTTTCCTCATAAAGGAGATGTTTCAGGCTCCTCATCATCTTTGTGACCCTTTGTCTCCAGCAGTTCCCTGTCTTTCTTGAACTGGGAAGCCCAGAATTGGACACAGTGTTCCAGGGCAGAATAGAGAGGAAGGATCACCTCCCTCAACCTGCTGGCCACTTTCTTTTTAATGCACTCCAGGATACCATTGGCCTTTTTGGGCACAAGGGCACACTGCTGGCTCACGGCCAACCTATTGTCCAAGAGGACACACAGATCCTTCTCTGCACGGCTTCTTTCCAGTAAGTCATCCCCTAACCAGTACTAATGCATGCAGTTATTTCTCCCCAGGTTTAGGACTCTATTTGGAGTTGCTCTTTTTGAAAGTCATTAGGTCATTGATGAAGATGCTGAACAAGACCATGCCTAGCACCTATCTCCTGGGGAAAACTGCTAGTTACAGGCCTCCAGATAGCTCTACATCACTAATCACAACCCTCTGAGCTCTGCCAGTCAGACATTGTTCCATCCACATCACTGTCCACTCATCTATCCCACACTTCCTAAGCTTCATTACAGGGATTTTGTGGGAGACAGTTAGACTGCTTACTTCTGAGACAAGACAACTGACCACAGAGGAAGGCAGAAAGCGGCACTGGGGTAGGTCCACCTAAGAGAAACAGTGGTCAGTGATGATGGCCTCTTTGATGGATACCTTCCCAGACGAGGGAATTCATAGAAAACATCTGAGGACTTACCCCCTAACAACTACACCTTCAGAAACTAGCATCCTTTTTTCAGATGTCAAGTGCATTTGCATTGTGTATAGGACATGATTTGCAGTGCCTTTTGTCTTCTGGGATCTGCCAAGAGGCATTTCTTTTTCTGTCTGTTAATGTGAAATATAACTGACTGATCAACCACAAAACTTTTCAAAGACTTGGAAAACTGGAGGGTGCTATATTCCACTCAAAAGGAATTCAGAGACACTTTTTGTGCTTCTGGAAGTCTTTTGCTGACTCCAAAAAAGAATGAGAACAGTAACTACCATTTTTGTTGGTTTTTATTACCACCACGACACCAGCACCAAATGCAAGAGCCCTTTGTTCAGTTCTCCTGGTTTAGTGACCTTCAATTTTTCCAGCATTGCTCTTATCGCTTGAAAACCGAGAAGCTGAAGTTCATGCTGAGGCACAAGATTTATTATTTTAGATTTGCAGCAGCTATAGATTGTAGCCATGTACTTTCAAAGGGAGAAAAAGTCTTTGTAAGCTTCATTTTGCATAAAACAAGGTGGAGTGTTACCATCACACCTTTGGATGAGCTAGACTGGGGGTTTTACAGACTTCAGATGGTGGAAAATCTGTCATATTCTCAGGTGAACTCTTCAGCATTAAAAATATGCAGTTTATCTGTAGTCTGAAGTACTAGTCTGTGACCATCACACATTTGTACGTTAAATGAAAGAGCTCTCTGCCCTTACATATATTATTATTCTGAAATTCTATTTGGAGCCTTTTTCACTCACTGCTTTTATACGTCATTACTGTTCTGTTGCAAAGAAAATTCTATGCAGTTTCAGGGTACAATGCTCTCCACTGCCAGGCTGTTTGCAGTATGGTATGGAATGAAGGGAAGTAAACTTACAACTCCCATCAATACTGAATGTCAGCTTCAACAAATGCTCCCCCACAAAGTATGGGGGGTCCAGACATACATCTCATATCCAAGCAGTTTGCTCTTTGCTGATATTAACACTTGAGGTTTTAATGAGCAGATGAAAATGAGAGTGCTTAGCAACAATACAGATAGTACAACAAATAAAGGATAAGCAGTTTGAGATTAGATTTTAATACCATCTTAATGACAACACCAAGATCTAGTTATTGCTCTGTGCAACTAAGCCACTATCACAGATGCTGGAATACTACAACACTTACAACACACTACTGGGGTTTCCATTTTGGGAAATTAGATTTTGAAAGCCACCAGGACACAAAGGGAGGTGAAGAGGCATCAGACAGCATAATACAGAGGGAGAATTTCTTCTTGCTGCATGGCATTCAGTCTATCCAAGCAGCTCACTTGCAGTGATCTCATGAAGTTTCTCTTGATCATTACAGACTGAAGAACTATAGCAAAGGTACTGACACTATTTGTTAAAGATTCCATGTTCTCGTAGGCCTTAAACCCCTTTTTGTCTCAATTTATTACCAGGAGGAACAGTTATATGGTTAATGGATGTAATCATGCTTTAGAATTCACAGCATTTTTTGAGGAAAAGGACTAGATAAAGTAAACTCTGACTGGCTTTGGAAGGAGCTCGACTCCTCAATATGAAACTTGTAGGATCCTCTGACATTGGCTGGACTGGATGACCTTGGAGGTCTCTTACAGCCTCGGTGATTCTATGATTCTATGACTCTATTTGAAATGTTGTTGGCCAAAAACAAAAATTAAAGTTGTGAGATGCTGCAAATTCCCCATGTGAGATGAAGTCTGCTTCCATTTGGGAATGGCTGACCAGGAAGCAGAAGGGAAAGGAAATAGATCTTCAAAACCAAACCCTGTGCAGTGCAGAAGAGGATCTAAATGGTGCAGTACAAGATAGGATCTAAATGGTTTGAAAGAGGATATGAGAAAGTGTACCTCTTACCACATGGCTAAAGATGCTGCCCTGGCAGGATTCAGTGTGTAAGATGTAAGTCTCTAGAAAAGAAATAAAACCCAAGTTTTTATTTAAAACCCAGTGCCTTTAGTGTTGCCACCTTGATTCACTCTCCATCTCACCTAAGACCAGCTTTAGGAGCTACTTCACATACAGTCTCCTATCATGCTGAAAATCTCCTTTGAAAAGTAAACAGGTTTCTGATTCTTTATGCTGCCACAGAAGACCCAAACAAGAAAGGCAATATAATCCCTTTAATCTTTTCTTTCCCGTGCCACATAACTTGCCTCCAAACCTTTTAAAAATAATTGCCTGCAGGAAAACAAAGAAACAAGCTGCTGTGGCATTATTGCATGCCCATCATTAGCATGCATTAATTTACTGCAATGTGATATACTACACCTATACCAAATCTGGTTACTAAATCACGTAAAGGTGATTCTGGCTTGAAAGCTTCACAACACAGAGATCAGGGCCAGACCCAATGTCAGAGCACTGTACAAATCAGTCCATACCAAGAATATTGTTGTGTTTTGTTACTCAGTACAATTTCAGCATCTGTTCTGGTCCCGTGTTCTCCCGCTGACCAAGAAGAAAATGCCTGAACTTAATGGTCCGTATATCAGTGTCTCACACACCAGCAGTCCCTCTGTCCACAAATCCTGGAAGCCCATGCTCAGACCCCAGAAAGCCCAACTCTGCCCTTCTTTCCTGGAAAGACACAAAGTTGCAGCTTTCTGCACACTGGCCAAATGAAAAATAAAAGAGAAAAAGGGCAAATAAAGGCATTTATAAGGGAATGAGATGCTTTTGAGGAGGCAACAATGAAAAAGGAAGATAAGGACAGAGGCAATAGCAGATAGAAAGCACCCAACAAGAGCAAAGGGTAGGTGGGGAGAAAATGCTGATGAGAAACTAAGGGAAGAGAAAGTAAAATGAAAGAGAAAGGAGTCTTAGCAAATTTCCATAATACAACACTGATGAAGCCTTTTATAACTGTAAACGAGAATGCTCAGAAATATTCCCTTACAGAAAGTTTGCATACTCATATTTTAATATCTCTGAACACTTTTCCAGACGTGGTAGAGGTGGAAACCTTCTGCTGGGGCTGCATGCAATAAAGGTGGGCTACCCGCATCCCATGGAGCAGCATCACTGAGGCTTATTGCTCTGTATAACTCCACAGGGATTGATACACCAGCCGAAGCCCCGTGCTGCTTCACAGGAGAGCCAAAGTTCCATACCAAACCTGCTGCTCAAGAGAAGCATGATAAGATACTCATTATGTTCTGCCAAAGCAGTGAAGACATCACTTTTACCTTCTGCAACCTGGACATAGGTTGCTTCTATCCAGAAGCCTGAGGTGATTCTACAAGTGCAAAACAGTGAAGTACCATGAAAAGTAAAGAAATTCTGAGCCATGTGAAGCAAATCTAAATCCACAAGTCTGAATGGCATTAAACGCTGACATAAATCTCAGCCTGCACTTGTTCAAGCGCAGACTCAAGCACTGACTCGGTGTGCAAACATGTTATTCCTATTTACAGACCACAAAGTGTTTACCTGACTCTATCCTCCCCGACTCGATACTGTTCATTTTCTCTGACTGAACGTTTGGCTGCAACATTTCATGAGATAGATTTATACAGCCATAAATAATGAAATGATTGTAGCTGTCCTCGAAACAATTGCTGAAAGATATACACCATCACTCAATACTAACGTCAAAAAAAGACTGTCAGAAAAATCACCTTACAGCATAGAGGAAACTTTTGAGCTTCACAGAGTGATTTCACCACATTTTTCCATCTGAAAGACATTTTGCTTGTGCAGATGATTTGCACAGCATAAACCCATGTCAGTCAGCTGAAGGGCTGACCCCAGTCATCTATTCTGCCAGTACTCTATGAAACGACAAGAAATAGTCTCTGATCTCCTCGGAACCTCCACTACAGACTTCAGGGGGAGGACTTTCTAGTGGATTCCCTTCAAAATTGCAGGAACAGTAGTTGTATCCCCAGTCCAGGTTGACCAGCTCCCCAAATCGTGGTGGAAGGGATCGCAGATGGTTGTTTCCCAGCCAAAGCGTGCGTAGATTCCTTAAAAGACAGACATCCTCAGGCAGGTTTTCCAGTGAGTTGAAAAGCAGCAGCAACGTTTCCAGTTTCTCCAGCTGCCGGATGCTGGAGGGGATGGTGCGTATTTTGTTGTCGCTCAGGTCCAGGAAGGTGAGGCTCCTCAGCTGGCAGAGGGCTGCGGGCAGATGGGTGAGGCTGTTGTTGGCCAGGTGGAGGCTGTGCAGCCGCTGCAGGGCCCCCATCTCTGGGGGTAGGGTGTTCAGGTGGTTGTTGCTCAGTGTCAGCCTCTCCAAGTGCCTCAAGGTGCCGATTTCGGCAGGGATTTTCTTCAGGTTATTGGAGTCCATGTAGAGGAGGGTAAGGTTCTTCAAGCGGCTGATCTCGCGGGGCAGCAGCTCCATGCGGTACCTCAGGCAGCTCTCTCGTTCTGGGCTCATCTCCAGGGCCTGCAGCTGGTCCAGGCCAAAGACCTGCGTAGGGACTGATGCCAGATCTCTGCCTGAAATCTTTAGTTTCTTCTTCCCTTTGTACTTTGGATCGTGTTCTGTGAGATATCTCCAATGTAAGTCAGGACCCGTAGAGGTGCATCTGAAGGACGTGGCTGGGTTCATTCTCCCAGCAGAAACTGCTTGAACCAAGAGCACAGTGGTGACTGATTATTTGTTGCTTGCACCACGGGCAACCACTGAGGTTCTTGGCTGACTGAGGCTCTCTGTCAGCTTTCCTCTCTGCTAGGCACGTTAACAATACACATGCAGAGTGTTTGGGTTGCTCAGATACGTCCCACCGAGTAAACATTTGCCCTTCTCACATGGCCAGGTGCTTCCTTTCCAGCACTGCAGTGCACACAAAACCCACCTAAAGGATGTTTTCTCTTGTTTCAGGCAGTCAGCTGGTGGCAGTGATCTGCCGGTACTCAGAAAGTGAAGGTGTTTAGAAAGTGAAGCAGTGGGTGGGCAAACATAAAGTGGTTTTGTTTGTGGAATTCATGTTGGTCAGTCCCAGGGGACTGCAATTGAAGATAAAGCATGTGGTAAATGAGGCAAGAAGACAGACTCATAGCTGGTGCCTGGGAGCTGGAAGCCAAGAAGAGGGCCTGCCCTCAGGGCAGTTGTGCCTTTAACATTAAGCAAACACAATAAAGCACTGGTTTTGAAATCTGAAAGACCTCCTCCCTCCTGCTGAGCGTATGACTGTCTGTGCCACAGATACAGGATCTCGTGCTGAACTTTCTCTGGCATATTTAAAAAGAATTTTTTATTCCTCACAACATAGCTTTTGTAGAAGATGAGAAATACCAGGTTTATCCTAAGCCACTCAGCACAGCATGCTGTGTACAGAGAAGGGCATTTTCCCAGAAGGAGACAATTGTGGGTTTGAAGCCTCAGGCTGAGAAAGCCACCTCTTTTATTTCATCCTCTAATCCATAAGATTCTCGGCTAAAAAGTGCTTAGACTGAGAATTTAAAATGTTTTTCATGAAGAAATTTCTTCACATTCTCCTACAGGCTATTAAAGGCAGAAAACAATGCCTTATAAGCGTGGCCTGAAAAGATCTACCAGGTCAGGTCTGGTGAAGAGTGATGCTCCAGTTCTCCACCCAACTCCAATTTCCCATCCATCAGATCTCCTCAGCCCTGTGTGGTGCTGAGCTTGCAGGGGGCCTGTATCCCAGCACTGAGGAACTGCATGGCAGTACAGATGGGTGGGCAGAGTTGGAAGTCCTCTAGCCAGAAGATGCTGACCAGAGGATTTCAGGATCATAATTCAATCTCTGAATTTACAATTTAGGTTCTCCTGTTTTTTAATGGATTTTGCCCTGAGATGCAGATTTTCGGTGCTGTTACAAACCAACCCTTGGCTTGGATTCAGCATGCAAATGCCTTAATCCTACTGAAATCAAGCTCTGGATTTCATTCAGATTCATCTTCAGCATAAAACCATGATACTAGTCTGGTGTCTGTCAGTGCTAAGAGGTTGTTATATATGTTACATATGTCCAGGTAGAGGCCAGTAACGAGCGGCGTCCCCCAGGGGTCTGTCTTGGGACCAGTGCTCTTTAACATCTTTATCAATGACATCGATGACGGAATCGAGTGCACCCTCAGCAAGTTTGCTGACAACACCAAGCTGAGTGGTGCAGTTGACACGGTTGAAGGAAGGGATGCCATTCAGAGGGACCTCGAGAGGCTAGAAAGGTGGGCCTGGGTGAACCTAACGAGGTTCAACACGGCAAAGTGCAAGGTTTGGCACTTGGGCCAGAGGAATCCCAGGCATCCCTACAGACTGGAAGGAGCGGTCCTTGAGAGCAGCCCTGCAGAGAAGGACTTGGGGGTCTTGATGGATGAAAAGCTTAACATGAGCCAGCAGTGTGCTCTTGTAGCTCGGAAGGCAAATGGGATCCTGGGCTCCATCAAAGAGGGGTGGCCAACAGGGACAGGGAGGTGATTGTTCCCCTCTACTCTGCTCTTGTGAGGCCCCATCTGGAGTACTGCATCCAAGTGTGGAGCACCCAGTACAAAAAAGACAGGGAACTGTTGGAGAAGGTCCAGAGGAGAGCCACAAAGATGATCAGGGGACTGGAGCACCTCCCCTGTGAGGACAGGCTGAGGGAGCTGGACTTGTTCAGCCTGGAGAAAAGAAGGCTGCGGGGTGACCTCATTGCAGCCTTTCAGTATCTAAAGGGAGCCTACAAACAGGAGGGGAATCAACTCTTTGAAATGGTAGATAACAGCAGGTTGAGGGGAAATGGTTTTAAGTTGAGGGAGGGAAGATTTAGGTTGAATGTCAGAGGGAAGTTCTTTACAGAGAGAGTGGTGAGGTGCTGGAACAGGCTGCCCAGAGAGGTTGTGGATGCCCCGTCCCTGGAGGTGTTTAAGGCCAGACTGGATGGGGCCCTGGGCAGCCTGGTCTAGTATTAAATGGGGAGCTTGGTGGCCCTGCATGTGGCAGGGGGGAGTGGAGATTCATGATCCCTGAGGTCCCTTCCAACCCTGGCCATTCTGTGATTCTGTTTTTGAATTATAAGCACCTGGGATGCCAGTACTTTCTTGATGGAGACAGCAAGCTATTGAGCTGGGACTATTACAGCTGAATGGATAACAATGTAAGCAAATCCTGTGGACACAAAGTGGTTATTCCTGTTCTTTAGGATCACCATTTATGTCAATGAGATCTGAAAGCTATGCTACCTTCATTAAGAAGTGGTGTACGTTTTACATAAAGAAGGGTCAACAGAGGAAATCTAATACCTTTCCACAAGTAGGAATGGGTACAGTAGCTTGGAAATATATGTATACATCAGAGATGATTATAATAACAAAGGACAAGTGAGATTTTTTCACTTGCAAGGGAAGGCTTCTGACCAGAAATAACAGACCTCATAATTAACCATAAAAATAACACTGAAACACAATTCCCACCAAGAGAGTGCTGAAAAAGTTCCTGCAATGAGATGCATTTCAGACTTGAACAAAAGCCATCCCAATGTGTTTCTAAATATACATTGTCAGCTATGTCTGTCCTGTGAAATACAATGAAATGCTGTGTGTGCTGCTTTCTGCTTAAACACTCTTCTCTCTCCGCATCAAAATCCAAGCCTTTCAGACAGCACATCACGCTGACCAAAGCTGTGCTTAGAGTGAAAGGCTTTTCTGATGCTGGGCACTGCTATCCATATTGAACTCTCTAAAAGTATGACCCTAGGCTTTTCTTTAAAAGGCAGCAAGTTCTTTTCTGCTCCATCTTGCAAGACATCCTTTTTCCTAATGCTGATCACTGTCTCATCAGGAGTGTCAGTGTATGATTAATGCCTCCCTGTCACACTGTTCCCTTGTCCTTTCTACATGCAGTTCATGGTCCAATAAATAAAATTGCAAGAAGGAGCCCATACTTTCAACATGTGATCTATCTAGAGACCTAGAATCCTAGAATATCTAGGATATTCTCATTCTCAGTTCATACAAACTCCAATAAGAATATTGCCAGAGTCAACAGTTCTAAATCAAGGTGCATGATGAATTCATAATTTAGCCTGAAAATCTGTTTGGAAACCAACCTGGATAATGAAAAGTTCATCATCTCTTTAGGCTTTTCTTATCAGTTGTGCATATTTCACAAGTCAAGACACAAAAATCCATTTCTGATTTCTAGGTTTAAACTAGATTGATGAGGGCAAGCATTCTTCCATTTCTTAACTCAGCTTCACCAGTACAAGGTGATGAAATGAAAGCCCAGGCTCTGATGGACTCTTCTTAACCTACAAGAAGTGCCAAACTTAGGATGCGGGAAGCAACTAGATGGCTGATGCAAAGATTCTCCCCCTAAGCAGAGATGGCTTTGCAGGGTCATCAAGGAGGACTCCTCATGTTAGGATGCTGACCCTGTGCAGGACTGCCACAAAGCAGCATCCTTTACCCTCAGCAGCATTGAAATATATCTGACAGATCGAAAGAGGTGATAGTGGATTTTTTTAGTAACTCAATGTTTTATTTTCTGTTATTTCCTGGCAAAAGGACAGTACATGTGTCTCGCTCCGATTTATAGGAGGGAGAGGAGGTTCTTTTAATATCTATATCCCCGGCGTGAGATTAAGAAACAACGGTTCAAATGTTGGTCCGACCAGTTTATTACAGATGTTAATTAGGGAGATGGTGAAGGGGAGGACGGACGCTATTATGAATTAGGGTAATGGGGAAGGGAAGGAGGGCAATAGAAAAGGTAAGAAAGAAGAAGCAAGCAGTCTTTATAGGAAGCAAGAGGGACATAGTCACCACCATGGATCCAGCTAGGTTTGTAGTTCAGTCATTGATCTTCAATAGCAGTGGGTCATCAGGTGTTGT